TTTTTTCCTGCTTGAACCAGGAATCAGACATTTTCCAAAGAGTCCTGGTTCCTTTTTGTGGGAAATATTATTTAGAAACCAAGATTTGGGCATTTATTATTTCATGTAATCATCATGACAACCCTATTAGGTATATATTAGCACATCTTCATTTTCCAAATGAGAGAGGTTAAGCACATTGTCCAAGGTCACAGAACGGGGAGAGATTAGTACCCAGTGTTCTAGCCCTTCCTTTGAGAGCACATGCTCAGATACAAACACAAATACTGATGAAACATACCTAAAGAAACCAAATTCACTGTGTGGAGTCAGATCCAACTCATAGCGACCCCTCCTTGGGTTTCCAAGGCAGTATCACTACAGAAGTAGATGGCCCAGCCTTCCTTCGGAGGAGTGGCTGGTGGGTTTGAACCATCAGCCTTCAGGTTAGCAGTCATATGCCTTAGGCACTACGCCACCAGAGCTCCCTGATGAAGCATAGTCTTCATCAGTCTCCTTTGCTAGCCTTATTCCCCACCCTCGTACCCAAATGCTGCCTGTAGGTGCCAGAAACCAAACCAAATCCACTGCTACTGGAATCAAGTCATAGCAACACCCACTGGGTTTCCAACGCTATAAATCTTTGCGCAAGTAGATTGCCTCATCTTCTTCCTGCGGAGCAGCTGGTAAGTTTGAACCGCTGACCTTCTGGTTAGCAGTCAAATGCCTTATCCACTACACCACCAGTGTCTAGCTGAGCCCATTAAGAGTGACAATAGCCAAAAGAGGGATGGAGAAATATGGAAAATTGAAGTTGGGCAGTGGGTACATAGGGGTTCAATATACTAATCTCTCTCCTTTTGTAAATATTTAAAATGTTCCATAATAATAAAAAAATTTAAATAACATTTAATTTAAAAACAATTATTTTCACTATTACTAATTACCATTATTTTAAAACAATCAGAGGAAAGTGTCTGGAAACAGCCATGAGGGAGCTGTGAGGGGTATTTGACCCCTCTCTCCTGGTTTTTCAGGCCCTTAGAGAAGACCAGCAGGAAGTCTGTGAGACCCTAAGAACTGCAGACCCTCAGCAGCACTTTTTCTCCTGGGAAGATGACGAAGGTGCTCCTCATCTACTTGGTCAGCTGTCTCCTTGCCATCAGTCAGGCTGCCATTATGCGCCGCTGTGACATGGCCAAGTTGCTTTACAAGGAGGAATTGCATGGGTTTGAGGGTTACGCCCTGAGTGACTGTGAGTGCCATTTCCTCAGCCCTCCTGCCCTGTTTCTTTTCCTCTTCCAATCATGCCCCATGGGGCCATCTTTCTCCTTCTCTCCCAGCCATCTTCCAAAGCCAAGTTTCAAAAGCAACCCCCTCCAAAAAGCCTTCCCCAACACTCTGTTTGAGGCACTGGGCATAGAATAGCAAACTCCATACTTGCTGCTACCAAGTCGATTCTGACGCATAGCGACCCCCATTGGATTTCCAAAGCTGTAAATCTTTACAGAAGTAGACTGTCTCATCTTCCATGGAGCGTCTGGTGGGTTCAAACCACTGAACGTTTTGATTAGCAGCCAAATGCCTTGACCACTATACCCCCAGAGCTCCTCTTCTTCCCTCATGGTACTCACATTCTAGGAGAGGAGATCGTCAATAAGCAAACACACAAATACACTGTCAGATGGTGATAAATCTATGAAAAAGAATGAAGTAGAGGGAGTGGTAGTCAATGCTGTTCTAGACAGAGAAGGAAGGGAAGGCCTTTCTGAGGAGAGGACATTGAGCAGCACTGAAAGAAGTGAGAGGCCTGGGCACTGCAATGTCTGATGGAATAGCATACCTGACAGAGGGAACAGCTGGTGCAAAAGCTTCATCCTCCTCCTGGGAGACCCCCACCCCCCAGTCTAGATTTTGTGCATACCTTACTTGCAACACTTTCTCCTATTTTGGGTTGTTCTTTTTTTTTTCCTTCTTCTTTCTTATACTGTAGGCCCTTGAAGGCAGCATCTGTTTGACCTAGGTAAATGTCCCTCACTGGACTTTATACAAGGAACTCTGGAGGTATAGTGGTTAAGGCATTTGGTTGGTAACCAAAAGATCACTGGTTCGAACCCACCAGCTACCCTGCAGAAGAAAGATGAGGCAGTCTGTTCTGCAGAGATTTACAGCATTGTAAACCCACTAGGGGTCACTATGAGTCAGAATCAACTTGATGGCAGGGGGTTTGGTTTGGTTTGGTTGGGCTTTATACAGTTCCTGGCATACAATAAATGTTCACTAAGTGAAGATAGATAGGATGGACAGATGGATGTATGAATAGTTGTCTTGATGGGTGGATGGACAGATGAGTGAGTGGTTGTATTGATGGTGGTGGTCAGATGGAAGGATGGGAGGAAAGGCCAATGAGTGGTTCTTTGTAGCCCTCTAGTCCCATCTAGCCTCTGGTTTGCCTCCTTTCTTCTGATTCCTTGTCTCTAAATCCTGACTCTCTTCTCCCTGATCTAAGGGCTGTGCCTGGCTTTTGTGGAAAGCAAGTTCAACACATCAAAGATAAGTGACAATGCAGATGGCAGCTTCGACTATGGCATCTTCCAGATCAACAGCCACTACTGGTGCAATGATTATCTCAGTCACTCGGAAAACCTCTGCCATGTAGACTGTATAGGTCTGACCGGGCCCTAGGGTGGGAGATGGGAGACTAGGTCTACTCACAAGATCTCTCTTCTCACCACAGCCTGGGAATTCCCCAGAGGGTGGTTCAAGGAATCGGGGAATGCCCATTCAGTTAGGAGATGCTGTAGGTCCTCAAGCAGGGTCCACAAAGGCTCTGCACAGCCAGTATTAGTGAAGCAGTGGCATTAGCCAGCACTTACTGAGAGGTTATTATTTACTAGGCACAGCTTATTTCATCCTCTCAACTTTCCATGCAATGGAAACTACTATGATCCTCACTTAAGATCTTCAGCAGAGTCTTAGAGAGAGAACCAGTTCTGAATGACTGGTGGCCTTGAAGTATCAGCTCCAACCACTAAGTAATACTGTCTTTGGCTAATGATCTGACCAAAGGCCAAGTGGAAACTCCCCACCTCTGAGATGATCCAAGAGGCTCAACAGGGTCTGTGACTCTGCCCCTCACTTCCTTCTTCATATCCTACTTAATGTCCTTGGGTCCCTCACCTGGACAACCCCCCTCATTAGACAGATATCTCACCTTGGCCTTAGTGCTACCTGTTTTGGCTTTTCCTTTCCCTGGAAACACACACACACCTGCCCTTGTTAGGAAGTATGGTAGTAAACAGATGCAAATCTCAGTTGTCACGGGCCCTCCCCCAACTCCAGCAGCCATGGTGGTGTTGTTATATGCCGTCGAGTCAGACCTGACTCAGCGACCCCTCCTTGGGTTTCCAAGGCAGTATCACT